TTGTTAACAAAATGACGGCCGCTTCTTGGCGTTTTCGAAGTGTCTGTGAAGAGGATTTAGATGAGGTTTTAAACGACTAGTAGATTTATACTAAAACAATTAGATTATTCGCTCTCGATTTCCATGCGCGATAGTTGACTCTGGTTGCGCCCTCGTCAGCTATCACTGGAGCTCATAATCAAATTGCTGAATATTTTGGTCTTTTCACGGCTAACGGTTTATTTATTTTCCTTACAATAAACAAAACCTTAGAAAATAATTATCATTGTTTGAAAAAGTTAAATTAATTTTCATTGTTTCAAAAGTTAAAAAGTTTATTTTGATTACTGTTAGACATAACTAAATATTTTTTGAGGTTAACATTTTTTATGGCTAACGGTTAAAATTTTCCAATTTTTACGGCTAATGGCTTAATTTTCGGCCTGTATAACGGCTAGCGGTTAACCCCATTGAGACTCTCGAAAAGGGTGTAAGAAAATTATGGTGCTAAAATAGGACAACAAGATTTCTTTAGTACACTCCTTCGTTTACGATACGGTGTGCTGTGGCCGTCCGGAATGGACCAGTTGTGATTTGATGACCGCTTTTCAACAACCGCCAATCATTGTACGACCACGTGTTCCAACCAATGGCACCAACCCTACCACTTTTGGCGGGAAAGTTACTAGCACTCCACCAAGGTGCGCGCCACATGTGTCTGACGTCACCTGAGCGCTCGCGTGAATAACCTTTGTGACCAATGTAGCTTGCGTCACGCAACTCGTAACGGGAAAACGGTTTGATACCATCAGGACCAGAGAATATCCAGTTGCCATGGCAATCGGTGGCATCCGCCATTTTAGCCGCTTATTGTGTAAAAAGGAGAGGAAACTAAGCAAGTCATGTAGTAGTGTTTATATTTCTTTTAAAATGTCCATCATTTAAAAAGGTGGAAAATTAACTGAAGTTTTAGTGCGATTGCCTTGTATCAGCGTTTTGCTTGTTTATCATAAGCCATATTTTTACCCAGACCTTGTTTGATTATCACTGATTATTGATCGTTGTCTTATTAAACTAACCGTCAAAACACAGAGCGGCAAATTCAACTCGCCCGAGCTTGCTATTTTCTTTTCTTTTTTTACTTCAAGGAATCGAAAGTTGACATGGAGTGCATCGCTATGTATTTGATCATCTGTATACGATATTTCAGGTATTTCGAGGAGACGCAAAGTCTGGATTTTTGTGAAACAATTCGGTAATGAAGTGGAATTTCTATTGTTGTTTCAGGATTTTCAGATAACTTGCAGCACGATATGAACTCACCGTTTGATTACTGATGTTCTCTCACACACTCCGGACAAGAAGAACTTAGAGAGGTTTAATCAAACGAGTAAATGTTGACTCGAAAGCCAGGAAACTTGTCTCCTTGGAAACAAATATAGAAACTTAGGAAAGGACTGAACTAAAATAAGCCGGCACTTGTGAATTATTAACAAATGGCTGCATTATTAATAACTAGCATTCGCATATCATGGCACAACAACCCAAGCTCTTTTGCGAGCTTCTAATTCATTAACATGAAACAGTAAAAAATAAGTAGAAAATAAATGGCAATTATATCGAAAAAACGATATATGTTGTTGTTGATATTAAAATTCCCGGCTTTACAGTCAGACTGAAATCGTTCTAAATTAATAAATATTCTTTTTCGTAGGTTTTTTCCTCTTTCGTACATACTTCCATACAGACGTTTAAGCGGGGCAATATCACCGCATATTTTTAAATACGGTGTGTCAAAATAGCTCCACAACCTTATTTTTCACTGCATTTGAGCCTTCTTGAGTAATACTAGATCATACATGTGGCTCAGAGATGCCTTTCTCGAGACTATATCCGCTCAAGTTACTCCAAGGAAAGACTTAATTGAAGTGTCAGTGGATTTAACATTACTGAGCTATAAATGGGTCATCGACAGAATGAGCCTATGATCTATAAGATGGCTTGCAGTCTCTCCCTCGGTTGACTGAGAGAATTAACAAATTGACGTCAGTTTTTTATGCGTCTGTCCTCTTATTGATGATAAATTGCGTCATAACATTGTCAAAGTGGCTGTGGAACCACGAACCGCAGTACCGTATCTTTGTATACTTGCCGTAAATTTTATTCAAAATGACACGCACATTGTCAAAAGCTTTTCTCGCTTTTTGATTGGCTACTTAAAAAAAGTCCATAAAATCTCATTGGTTAAAAAGTTGACAATTTGACAGCTGAAAGGTGAACATGAAAGTCTGCATAAATAAACAGTTTATCCCTCTCTACTCTCGATGATAAAAATGAGCCAATCAGCGCGCGAGAAATTAGACAGTTATTGTAAAATTAATACATTGCAACTTCCTTTTTCTGCATTTATCATATGAGCTTATTCCTCAAAAAAGAATCCTACGCGTTAGCAGGGTGAAACCGTTTTCCTGAAAACTATAACGGGTACAGGGATGTTGAACTGCTGTTCTAGTTGTGTTGCCTTCCCTTCTCTTTCATTCGTATCGACTTAATGTAATGTCTTATGTGACCATTGCAGTTTGGCAGTGTATTTATTCTTTTTTTATGATCTCTCTGCCATAAAGCAACGAAAAGCTAGGCAGGTGTTTGACCCAGTACACGTGAGTTTTGATTTCATTATATAACAAAAGCGGAAACCAATGCATTTGTTTTTGTTTTACTTGGAGACTTTCATATCAGCGTTATATGATTATTATTTCATATCAGCGTTATATGATTATTATATGGCTTATGATAAACAAGCAAAACGGGGAGGGGAAGGAGGTACGAATCACCTGCGTTTTATTATCATAGTAATTGAAATGACGATTGCCTTCTGTTAAGTTATTTTTCGATCGTTTGATTTTTTTATTTTTGATCGTTTATGAAAACTGCTTATATTATGTAAAACGACTTTTGCTCGTGTCCAACTCTCGTGAGTTCTATATTCTGGGGCAAAGCGGTAACCGGTTAAGAACACGTTCGCTTTTAAGCCATTTTATATCCACATACAATTCTACAAGTGATGTTACATAGTTGAACAAGAATGACAAAATTTACAGCCAAAGTCCATCCATTTCAGGAATAAAAATCAAACAGAAAAATCCTAGATTTGCAAATTGAATTTGTAAATGGTTTCCTCTGACATTTCATCTCAAGGGCTCACGTGCACACGTGCTCATGTGCGCATCAGTGAAAAGATCACGCGACAAAGTGAAAGAATGAGTTATGAAATGTGGCAGATTGCATAAAAGGAATTGAACAGTTAACAGCTGACTGACGTGCGTTCTACATTCTCGAACAAAGCGATAGCCATTTAGAAACATCTTCACCTTAAAGCCATTTCGTACAATTCTACACGTGATGTCATATAGCAGAAAAAGGATGACAAAATTTACAACCGAAGTTCAATAATCTCAGGGATAAAAATTAAATAAAAAAATAACTTTGCTTTGCAAATTGAGTTTGTAAACGATTTTCTCTGACATGTTATTTTCAAAGGCTCACGTGCACCTGTGCACATTGAAACGATCAAGCGACAACGAAAACCAGTGAGTTATTAAGAAATATCGATCGTCTGTGATAGATTATATAAAAAGAATTTAACAGTTGGCTTTAGATTGATGCTCCTTTTTAAGACATTGGTCAATTTTAGCGCGAATTTCACAGTCTGTTCCCTTATCGCTGCTTTTGAAGCCTATGTACATCCACCCCCTCCCTTGCAAAAAAATTGATTAACGACCCCACTACACACAGACGTCCCTCTCCGATTTTTTTGAGAAGAGAGGGGGATGTACACAGGCTACTTTTTTCAGTCATAGATGAAAACAACGTCATTGTGAATGTTGTGATTTATATTTACGTTAAATAACAAGCTCCAGTTTTTGAAAAATGAAAAACGTACTCGCAAAACATTTTAGGTAAATTGAGCCAGAAAACACCAGTTTTTTACAAAAATATATATATATTATTTTCTCCGTACAGACACAGCTGAGCGCAGATTATAATTCTCAGATGCTACTACTGTGCCAGGATAGAGGACCCGGATGAAAACCAGCTAAGGCTGATGTGGTCTCCCCTCTAAATATCGTAATTTATTTTTATTAATTTATTTTAATTTTCTGCCAGTGTCATTTCATTTTACCGCAATGATTCGATTTAGTTTCGATGCAGCAGTTTTGTGATTGGACAAGACAGGTTGTTCGCATACATTCGTTCTACGCATGTGAAGGAATGGACGACGAAAATTAATACATAATCTTCATTTACCGAACGTTTATAAAAATTATATTTATTATGATCAGTTTATAGATCTTGTTTTCTTTATACTGCAGAAAAAGAGGCTTGAAAATGAACAAAATAACAAAAACTTTCCGTTATGAAACATTATTAGCTTAAGCTCAAAATTTGTAAACCATTTCTTCTTCAGAGCGACAAAAGTTGTTACATTTCGGGTTAATGTCACATTTTGTGCCCAAAATTGTTACATTTCGCGTTAGTTCTTACAATCTACGAGTGCAAGACATAGAAAAACCAAGCACAGTTGACAGTACAAAGGCCCGGAAATATAAGGCTCGTCACACAAGAGAATTTTGTGACAGGTCTTACAGAACGTCACAGAAGAATGAAAACTTCAAAATAAGTCAATCGAATACATATTCTCAATTGTTTAATGACAAATTCTTACGTCATACAAAGTATTTCAATTTATTACATTTTGAAGACAACGCGGTGAGCAAATATCCCGCTGAAATTCACAAATCAATTGACAAAGATTCCTGGACCAGGAAACTAAAGGTCACATACATACTCATTTTCAAGAACATAATCATATCAAGAACAAAGATCAATTTTAAACAACAACAGACTATTTTGCCGTATTATCAGAGAAAACGCTGATGGATTGATGAAATTCTGAGGTTTTCCAAACGCGTAACTAGCTAACAGTTTACAAACACAAATGTCTACAGTCACAACGTTCTTTACATTTTGGCGCATAAGACTCGTTTTAAACACGTATTTTCCTGTTGAGCAATCATAAGCTGTGCATGTATTCTCAGGTTCTCTCTCTCAAGGAAAGCTGCCTTTATTTGCGTTTGCAGTTCTCGGGTTTTTCTCGCGTCCCTTGACTTTTTCGCCGAAGCGTTATTTTTCCTTCTTCGCTCCCAGTAAGTTTCTCTTTCTCTGGGTCCGTTGCTTGTGTGTTTGTCTTCTATAGCATCTTCTTTTCTTCTCTTTTCTGCAGGTTCGTCGCTAAAATCCTCTCCGCGCTTTTCATGATGCTTATCAAGTATCATTTTAAAATTGTTCTCCTTGTTGACTCTGTTGGATACTGCTTGTGCTGCGCTCTCGAAGGCGGCCATCTCTCCCTCGACGTCATTCCTCTTGGCAGGGAAACTGCAGTCTTTGTTTTCCGTGTTAACTAAGAAAGGCGATGCGAGTTTCGTGTCTTCTTGTTGCCCACCATAATTCTTGTCTTCATGCGCAAGCGCCCAAGATTTCCTGTCACGCGTTCGAAGCTGACTGTGAATATTCTTCTTGGCTGCTGACAATAACTCACTGTATAACAAACGCATTTGTTTATTCTCCTCACTCCCTAGGCTCTCGTGGGAGTGAAACATTCCTTGAAAACTGTCAAGAAATCTGGAGGACGTGGGATCGTGTAAGCGTGTCGGGCTACTAGTCTCGCTGTCTCGCCTTCCCTTCTCCATCCCTGTGGCTTTGGTCTCAATTCTACTGTGAAGAATGCAGCGTTTTGGATTCTTTTTTATATGCTCTCTGCATTTGGAAACAACGGAAACTGAACAGCTGTACACGTGAGTTTTGATTTTGTTATGCAACACAAAAAACGTTGTCTCGATCAGTCATAAAAAAAAGTTCCAATGCAATAATTTAGATGAGAGGCTTGAATTTATTCAATTAATTAGGTGAAAACTGGGCAAAACATCTAAATCTGCACTTAATATTACCAACACTGCTTTCCCTCGTCTCTAACGTGCCCTACTTCGGTCATAACAAGTAATGTTTTATGTAACGGTTTGAAAATTGTTTTCACTTCGAAGCGCCACCCTTAGGTAACGTGACTTGTTTCAATGAGCCTTTCAATGCACGCACTTTAATGTTATATAACAATTATTTTACAAAAGGCTCTCATGGGGAGTTGCCAAAGCGTGAGGTGACTCTCTACAGAAAAATGGGAAAATATTTATCCACAGCTGTGCAACTGATTTCAAAGGTTAAAATCAATACCCGCCCGACAAGTTGACAACCAAAGTTGATTTTTCCTTATTTTTCCCTCAATATATAATAAAACACAGGGTTACATGCTTTACTAAAAGAAAATTACATTTCGTATAAAATAAACTCATCTTTCCTCGCGATTTTCGACGTGAATTCTTTAGCTGAATCGTCAAATATTTTGGGATTAAATAGTATAGTTGTTTCAGAAGTTTACATTTAGAATTAGACTCAACAAACATTTGTTAAAATGTTAACATACTGGTAGGTGAATGGTTCACGCGGTCATGAAGAAAACAGCAGCAGCAAAACATCACCCTGATTAACACGGAGCTCAACTAACTACAACGGCAACGCCGAGGACAACGTCGATTAAAAAATGAATTTATCTTTGGCCTACGAATCGCGCGATACTCTTAAGTCAGTTAGTTTTTCTCGAAACTGAATATGGAACACAGCGTTAAATTCATATACAGGTAAAAACTAACGATAGACAAATCCGACGTTTCGGCGACATCTTGGCGCCATTGTCAAGGGATTGTCGGATTTGTCTATCGTTAGTTTTTGCCTGTATATGTTTATCTAAATCATTGTTGATTAGCGTTAAATTCGAAGTATAAATTTAAAAAATTAGCCGCCGTGGTTCACGTTCTCCAGACAACGCAGAATTTGGTCATTTCACGTTGTTGTTTTGCAGAGGACGGCAAATAAATGTACCAAGAATTATAACACACGAGCACAGCCATCGCTTTGCCCATTAAACCTTTTGTTTAGCGACGTTCCCGATACCGTTGTGGCTTTCTAAAACTCCCTAATTGTGAAATGACGTCTGTGCTGTGCATTACTACACTGAAATGCAGCAGATATTTTTAAACTTATGACCTTTTTCACGTGTTTTAAAACGTGAGCTTCTAACCGGAAAGCAACCAATTCAAGCCGCTTTTACCTCCGGTTTTATAAAATCAAGTTGATCGTCTTTCAGTCAGATTTAATTCTTCAGACGTTTCGAGGTCGTGGGAGACTTCACGAGCTAAAAAAACCTTTGCACTTGTTTTGTAAAGTGTTCTAGAATGGTTTCCTTAGATACGAAACCAGAAAGTAACCTATGCCATTGCCTTGTTCTATGTTATTTGATGTAATTCACTGATTATGCAATTCGCGTTTTAAAAATTTAAAAAAGGCAATTTAGGACGGATTTTCGGTCAACTAAATCATTGGACTACAATTCACAAAGATTAAACAATGATTTGCTTTGTTTAAGGTACCTCTCATCTTGACACCAAACCAAAAACCTTTGATATTTCAGATTTATAAACCTTGTCATTGTTTTACAATGTTTGACAAATAATTTAAAACGCTAACACTTATCTTGCAGTTTACATACACAGGCATAATTAAGTAATTTCGCCCTCTTGATCACTAAGTTACAAACTTTCTGAACGAATTGAGATCTTTCTCGAAACAAAAATCAAGGGGACTGCAAGAAGATTTTATTTCGACATGTCTATGAAATTTACGTCGCTACATCGTTTTGGATATAAATTAATCCTCCACGGAAACCCCACGCTTTGTTTATTTTTGGATCATTTACCATTAACTGAATTTGAATTTGAGTCTCCTTCAAGACAATTCATTTTATTTTCGCAAATTTTTCCATGGTATGGAATCTGATCTTCACCTTCTTTATTCAGTCAACACTGAAATGCTTGGTTCAGTCGAGAGCTGTAGAAAGAGTTCAGACCGTCCAAAGTCTGCGTTTCATTCAAGGAAGAAATTCCCTACACCACTAAAACCACATACAAATTGAACGTTTTCTCTAGAGAGCATATTTTTTTCTTTTAAATCGCAAAGTATTTTACATCGTTCGTACTAAAGAGTGTTAAAGGCACGACTTTGCTTTCTGGCCGATTTGAACCAGCACAAACAGTCGGGGAAACCAGCGTCGTTTTCGGCAAATATTCGTTGAAACACTCGAACACTTTCCGATTTACATCGTCCAATCAAAGCCCACGAGAATTCCAAAGACTGTGGCACGAGCATGTGTAGTGAGGTACGTTTTACGTCACGTTGCATAGCAACTATGGGAAGAAAACTGCACCTGGACCCAGTCAATTCTCGACCACGAAATGTCGTAGTTAACTGTTTATTACGTTGATCCTCGGAGCTCTGTGTAAAATGCAGGCTTCAAGTAGTTTGCGTAGTGTGATTTTCAATACGTATGGCTATTGTATGGTTAAATACAGAAACTACAGATTTGGTCGCCTTCATTCATTGTAGCTGCTTTGCAGGTGAATGGAGATTTTAACACCAAACACAAGCGTCATCTGAGATCTGGAATCTGATAGAAAAAAGTAACGACAAAAAACACTTTTACTCCCATCGCTGAAGGCCAATTAACCTGCTTAATGTTATAGGGGCTATCGTGAACATGACCTGGAAAAGGCAAATGCCAAAAGACAAATTTAGATCAATAGAAACCCAAACATTATGCTCTTCCACTGAAGTTAAAGGAGAGTCATCTTCAGTTACACATGCATGAAGTCTTGATCGCAAATTGACAAAGTCACGCAGATAATTTGGTTCTCCCTTTAACAATTCAGTTACTACCTTTATCGATGAATTCCTGACGAATTCAGTACAAAACCGAAGGTAGTCCAGTTCTGTCACGCAACGGAACACTTTTGAAAGTGGATCCTCTCTCCGCTCCCTAGAGTGGATTGTTGCGTGACAGAGAGAGGGCCAGAACTGGCGTAAGTGAAGATAAATGGCACCGTTTTGCCAAAAATGTGCCAAAAATTCCTGGATGTTGACCCTTATAGGGGGATCTCTGTTCAGCTGAAAACCATTTTTTTGTAGCTAGCGTTTCTGGGTGTTTAAATGCTGTAACGTCGTATGTACACAGTATTATTATGTACATGGGTTTGGCCTTCTATTCCTGGATTATCCTTAAAGTACTTTCTTAGGCTATTTTTTTCAGCACTAAGAAAACAAGGTTTGAAACAAAACCTATTCAATGCCGAACCTATTACCAGGCTTGCAGATTGCATGGAAAGGAGGCTCGAGTTGGGTGTCACATGATAGAGTACAAAAACTGGTCAAACCTGCTCAAGCAAGACTTCTGCTGCGCCCACAATGAACTCATCGGCGGCCATCGCCTGGCTACTTGCACCACCCTTCACCAAAGCCTGAAAACAAATAAACGCAACATATCACCCCAAGAGAAACTGTTTTCAGTTCTTTAGGGAGAATATATTGACGTCAGAAAACCTCTCTTGTGTATGTGGACAACTGCCGTGCTTTGTGTAAAAACACATCATGCATGGAGAACGAGAAACTTTGTCAAACACGATGAAAAGCCGAGAGGATTAAAAAAAAATGTTTTCATTTGAGAACAACCCGCACTATTGTACACGTCTAACGCAATGCTCAGAATAAAAGAAAAACGGGCCTAGCGTGCAAGGAAGGCAGCCTGGCCTAGTAGTTAAAGGCGCTGGATTTGTGACTTGCAGTTTCCGAGTTCAAATCCTCCTCCCTGCCACTAGATGAATTAGTGTTTGGTGGTCTCAGATTCAACTCCTCCACGCTTTGTAAATAGCCAACTGGTCAACCTCCCAACAGTTGGGTTTTTTGACAAGTTTCTGTTCAATTTACAATATTTTAGTGTTTTCTTGTTTCAGTGTTCCGAATTAGCACAGTAATGCTAAACACTTCGACACTTACATAAAGTGATTTTTTTATTGATTCATTGACGTATAATGATCGGGAGATCATTATAAAATACAAAATGGATACATGTAGGTGATCTCTCTTTTTTACACATTGCAATTGCAAAAGTTTGGGAGAACTCGAAAAATCCGTGAAAACACTCGCCTCTAGGTCGTGTTCCCGTAGCATTTCTCGTTCTTCCAAATTTCCACTCGTGTTTCTACAACTCGATAAAAAAGACGGTACATGTTTTCTCGGTATTCCTAAACTGTTGAAAGCAATTGAAAATCGTTGCACTTTGGCTAGTTTTGCGTTCAGTAACAGATCTTCACAATTTGTTATAAAATTCCACAACATACTTGTACGTAACCAATCAGAGCAAACATGCTGCTTTATCAACCAATCAGGAAGCAATAGTGACTTGGCTTCTGTGCGTATTCCCGCGCTTTTTACAGATTAAATGCTTTCCGGCTCGGTGTAGGCCAGTCCAGTTCCCACTCTCCCTCTGTCGAGCAACGTTACGCTATCGGATGAGAGGATCCAGAACCCCTCTCCCGAAGGAGTAGCGTTGCGTGACAGAGAGAATTTACCAGAACTGTAGTAGGTATGGGCAAAAAAGAAAACTAGTAGCGAATTTTCTCGCATGTCCTTAGCTGCAGTTTCATGGAAATTTTTACCCACCTCAGCCATGACTTTGTTAAGGCGCTGCGAACTTAACATGGAGCCCACTTGAATGACACTGCAAGTTGACAAATCAAAGCGTGATAAAATGGCCAACAAAATCCTGTTCCAAATGTTTACAAGGTAGAAAAGGTCGGAGGTGCTCGTCGGAAAATTTGAATTAAACCCCTAAAGGAGACCAATCTGGATGTGGTTCAAGCTTTATTTGAACCATAAAAGATACTACTCGACGGTGTTTTTCATTATTTCTTTGAGTGCACCCTAAAAGATACCTTGACAGTTAAAAATAGTAGCATTTCGTCTTGATCACGTTAAGTGAGACAAACATCTTTGATTTACACTCCTAAGCGAGATGATGAGCATCCCTGACTCACCCCCTCCCCCCCCCCCCCCCGGGGGAGGTAAAATGACATGTCGCATTTCAGGATTTTTCAGTCAGAATCTAAGAGACTACATCACAGCTATTGTATTCCGAGCTTGCCTGATTGGGTCATCCGTGGTCTTGAGTACAGCTTGATGCAATTCGTATATTACAGCTTCACAGAGATGTTTGTCAGCTTTACCTGACATAAAACAAAACAACAAATTAAAATGGATGTGTTTAGCCATCCTAGAGCATAATGCAGTCTAACCCAGTCAAATCTACTGACCAAGGGTCGGCACCCATAAGGGGACAAGTCCATGGGATTGGTTTCTGCGACAAACGGTTATTCACATGAAGGGTTTTGAAGGGTAAGATGCAGTGACTGGCCCCTTGAATTCACACCAGTTTGAATTTGTGGGGCAAGTCGCAGGGCCAAATAGGTTTTTTGACAAAAATGGCTAGTTCCCATGGAAGGGATTTGTTCCCTCAACTTGTTGCAGGGACTTAAGCCACGTGCAGAGACTTGTCTCTGTGTGTGCCGATCTGAAAGAACAGATCCAATGATATTTATTATTTCAACAGCTTTATAGTTAGACTCTAAAATTAAATGTTATCATTTCTACCATTAACTTCAATTGCAAACCTCTGCCAGTCAAATCCAGCTCATTGTACAGTGATTCGGCTTGCTTTAAAAAATCTACAAAGAAACAGAATTCATAAATGTCATTACAACCAATGAATTTCAGATATATATGTGACATGAAGGACGTAATGCCAGGGACATTACCCTGGGGACATTACCCCAGGGACATACCCTGGGGACATAACCCCGGGGACATTACCCCGGGGACATTACCCCAGGGACATTACCCAGGAAGGAGGAAGGAACAACTCCATGAATGGATTTTAACAAGTCAAGTTCAACTTGAGAAGGAAAATGTCAAATGTCAAAATAGAATGTACCTCTCCTCCCTCAACTCCAGTTTTAATCCTAGCAAGAGTCATTTAGTTGTAATTTTTAAGTTAAGTCTGCGTAAGAGCCAAGTGGCCCATCAGGCTGGCGCTTATCTCCAGTTTCTGAGGGATGAAGCAACTAGGAGTATTTCAACTCCTCCCTGGATGGGATGCCAGTCAATCACAGGGTTACCCCCAGCATTAAATTCGCCAGTACCCATTTATACACCTGGATGGAGAAAGGCACTGTGAGAGTGAAGTGTCTTGCCCAAGAACAGAATGCTGACAATATCTCTGAGGTCAGGGCTCAAACCCAGACTGCTCAATCTTGAATTGAGTGCACTAACCATGAGGCCACCACTCCTCCCCTTGTGTTTGTTTAAGGCAAGACATTTCAATCGCACACTCGGATAACACATGTAACACGCTTTGTAATAGATGTAACTGAGAAAGTCTAGTAAATGAGGACAAGAATTTTTTTGTTTTACCTTGATATATGAATGTTGCTAACACTCCTAGTTTAAATACTGGAAATCGCACAACCTCATGGCTTAAACACATGATTCGTTTTTGAAGAGGCTCCACCTCTTGACCAGTCAGGTCCCTAAAAATACATCCAAGCCAGTGATTACCAAAAGTTATCTAGCATTGTACATGTAGGTCTGGAATGTATGCCAGGAGATACCTATCTGACATCACAGGTCTGCACTGCGTACAGAAAAATTGTAAATTCCTAATAATCCTCTTTACGAAACTGATAACAAACTTTATAATATCATTATGAAAAGTTTTTTGAACAACACAACCAGTCATCTCAGGATTATTGTTCATGACAGATTGAAAACCAAATTCTTCCAACTTGAAGATGAATCCCTAAAACAATTATTCCTACTGGTATGAAGCATTTTGTATGTTTTTTTCAGGGGGGTTGGACAATTTCCAAAAAATTTGGGGAAATGGAGCTAAAGGGAAACGAATTGGAGGAAGTGAATTCTCCTAACCAGGTCCCGTGTTTGACCATTACTCTTTGAGGGACTGGGGGGGGGGTGCATTGGGCAATTTTCAGGGGCATGATATTATGTGTCACCTTTAGGTTGTGCATGATTTTATTGGTGAGCAATAGCTTGTGCAAGACTTCCTTTGCTAGATTTTCAACAGCAGTTTTTGCTGTGTGTAATTAAACCAAAAGTAGCTTATTGTTGTAAAATTAAAATTTACTAGGTATCCTCTTTAAAAAGTCCCTTTGGGAAAAGTCAATAAAAGCCCCTTTGGGGAAAGTCAATAAAGGGTGTATGTACATATGTAAATGAGAGGAAAAACTGTTCTGGACATTTCTTCAACAGCTCTTTCTTTTCACCTCACCTGCATAACAATGTCAACAGATCATTATAAGTTTTTCCAGTAAGTCCTCGTAAGCCATTACTATCTGTCAGAATAAACAGACTTTTCAATAAATACATGCTCTTACAGTGTAAACTCTTAAACCATTCAGTAACATAGATGTGCAAGTTGAGGGGAGGGGGGGACTGGAGCCCCCCAGTTTTGGAAATTATGAAATTTTCTGGCAAAAGGCTTGTGATTTGGGCAACAGCACTTAGGAGAAACATTCCAAACCTTAAAAATAAAGTTTCTAGTAATTTACTTTGATGACGGCTCTCCTACATGTATGTACATAAACAGTGTATTAAAATTTAGGTGCAGAAATCTTGTAGTACTTACTCTTTTGCTGTTTAAGGACATTGTAGGCTTGAACAAGGTTGTTCTGGAAGGACGGTCGTGAGTGATGAGCCAAAAGTAGTTTCTGGTGAGATTTCACAAGCGCTGTCGTAGTGTTGGCATGACTGTCAAAACTGAAAGCAGGACCACATTATTTTAAAATCCTTATTTTACTCTAAACCAATTGACATATCAATTGGAGGGTGCCTTAAAGGCTCAAACAGGAGAGCAGCAATCTCCCCTCAGCACGGAAGTCACCATGGCAGATCTCCCGAGGGGGACTCCCAAATGAAAAAGTGAGAGATGCTCATCAGAAAATTTGAATTAAACCCTTAAAGAGAACCAATCTGGGTGTGGCTCAAGCTTTATTTGACCCCTAAAAGATACCACTTAATACAGAATAGGCTCCATTATCAGTCGCTGTTCAGGAAGGAAGCCCATGCTACTAGCCCGGACTCAAGAGAGCCACAGAAATTAAGCCTAAAAATGGAAATGAGAGCGTTTTTTTATTGTCACTGTACTTCTTTGAGTGCACCCTAAAAGATAATTTGACTACTAAAAATGGTGCCATTTCACCCTGAAAACTCTAAGTGAGACCAAAACCCTTGATTTACTCCCCTAAGCAAGATAACAAGCATCCCCAACCTTTTCGTATAGGAGTTCCTCCCCTACCAGGGAGCAGACCAAACACAGCCTACATGTACCTCCAGGCACCTATCAACACAGCAATGTGAAGAAACAATGTGTGGAAGATATAATGTACTTGCCCAAGTGGGAGTTAAGGGAGGGAGAAAAAAATTTAAAGCAAAATTATGTGCAAGTGAGCAAGACACTGCAAGAAAAGCACATTGTATTGCCCCTGGAACTTCTACCTGTACCCCCCACCTATCAGATAGCTGGCCAGCAATGGCTTGATTTTATCTTTGCCTAGATTTCATTTAGCATTAATCACAGATAGCAGTTACTGTATTATCCTTGTCTCTTGTCTAGGGGTGGTGAATGGTGAATGGGAGACTTTGCGGGATGACAAGATTAGCGTTTTTCTTTGCAAGCCCGAGACATTTTGATTTCCTCAATTGCAAGACTGAGACTTTAAAGTGTTTTAAATGCGAACTCAAGACGTTCAGGTTGTAAGATGTTGTGATGTCATTTAAATTTACTAAAAAAAATAAACAAATTGGTACTTCGCGACTTTCTTAGCCTTGAAAAAAATCGAGACTGCAAGACGCACATAACCACTAAAAAACAAGACTGTGAGACCGGTGAAATTCAGCGAAAATTTTGCGAGACCCATGGTTTTTGAAGGACCATTCACCACCCCTTTTCTCCAGCCACAAAGTAAAGTGAGGGCGGTTAATACATGTAAAACAAGTCAACATCAGCCTTGTACTGTAGTTTAACTATGTCATTTTGCTTGGCTGAACTTCCTTAAAGATTAACATTTCATGTCACAGAAACCATTCATAGCTCATGCACTGAGCAACTTGGAGAGGTGCTGACTGGTCCTTCAAAAACCATGGGTCTCGCAAAATTTTTCGTTTAATTTCAAGGGTCTCACATAATTTTACCATTCACAACCCCTACTTGGCTCCTGTAGCCTCCAACCTCCTCCCCAGTTTGGATTATTACATAATTTTTTTTAGGTTGTTAACAATAAGTTGCAATTTAAAATATATATAGGAGCTACTTACAATTCTGCCATAAACATTATAGGATCCTCAGGCCTGTTTTCAATGAGAAGAGCTATCGCGTCTTTTATTTCATTTGTGACACCAGTGCGAGCTGCAGATTACATGAAACCAAAAGGTATATTCCAAGCTTAAATAAGATAACATGTATCTCACAGATCAATGTTTCACATTTTGCACATTTAAAAAAGTTGCAATAGACCTTACATGTATTTTGGTTCTGGAAGCGATCTTGGTGGGTAGGCAACAGCATCAGTAATGACAGTGTTTGTATGGGAATCTGATGACATTTAATGTATAAATTATTAAGAATATACATTATATATGAAAACTTTATAATACATTTTGCATTTGTATTAAAAATATAAACACATATACATGTACATGTAATATTTACAAATTGCAAAGATTTAAGAGGGTGCCAACAGGGAAGAACTTAAGACGATATCCGATATCCGATAGGAAATCAAGCAATTTCAACTTTCAGTGGACAAAAACCTTGTACCAGAATAATTTTAAGTATATTACAGTCTTTCTTGCATAATTTTCTAAAAGCTTCAGATATAAGTATTTGCCTGAAATAACACCAAAAACAATTTCCCATGGGAAGTTGAGGAAATACATTTCAAAGTTTAGAGAAATTGTGCAAACACAGGTAAAATTTCATCATCGGTTTCATTTCACCACTACTTTCAAGTGTTTCGTATGAACTTCAACATTTGTTTTTGCCAATCTGGTGTTGCTAGAAATGATTTCTTTTGAGAAGATATTTAAAACAATAGCATAGAAGTTTGCAATACAATATATATAATGTTGGTACTAAGTTTTTGTCCACTAAATACTCGAACTTCTGGTGGATTCCCTGTTAATCTTTTCTTGAAAATTGAATTCTGAACAATTTATGAATAGCAAAGTTAAGATACTGGACAAAAGATTGCATCAACTAAATTTGAGGGATGTAGCTGAGCTAGAAAGCATCCTGGCGCGTTTTTAATTTTCCATACATTTGTCTACGATTTCTTTTTTTCCGCAAAATGTCGCGAAGTTGCACACGGCCTACAAGTTCACGCCTTTGTGCGGGAAAAATCGCTCACAAACGTATCGAAAAGTATAAAAACGGGACTGAGCGCTTTCTAGCAAAGTTACAGCCCTCACATTTGGTTATTGCAACCTTTTGTCTAATGTCTTAACCCTGCTATTCATAAATTGTTCAGAATTCTGTAGAGAATAGTATCTGCCGACCCCTCTGCCATTGCATTCGATTCCCATAAAAAAAAAAAACAGTAATTTCTGACGCCCGTTGCCTAGCCGTCACAATGGCTTCCAAAACCTTGATAGGATCTACTTTATAAGCATCTAAAGTCATCATTGAAAATAACATCTGGGTGAGATGCAACTTAAGGCCTGATAATTTGATTTTTTGTTGCTACATACCTCGCTCATAATAAACAGCTGGCACAATCCGACAATAAGAATTTTCCTCTGGCATATTCTACAAGGTTTGCTACTGTATTATACATGTAGCTTCCTATCAAAGTATAATATCTGAGCTTATACTCACACAAAAAGTCGAGGGGAGTCTCTGCTTTCTCTGGTTTGAAATCGCGTTCATCTAGCAACAAGTTTGTTTTGGAAGGCTTCTTGTCCGCCATTTTGCAGTGGAAAGCAGAAAAAGACTGGGGCGAGCATTACACTACGCTGTCATATACATGACGTAGGAAAAGCAGTCACGAGCAGAGTTTTTCAGTGGAGGAGTTTACTTTTTATTTGCGCGCTTAGTAAAGTGTTTCTTCTAGAGATGGACGAAGAAAACAACCTAGAGAGTCCAGAAGAGGACATTGAATTTTTGGAGGATGATTTTGTAGAAGTGGTAGACTTGGATGACGAGGGTGAAGCTGCAGAAGGTACGAAGCACTCGTACCCTTCACTGGCACGTGGAGGTTTAATTTAAGTTAAGTTAAGAACAAGAATCTTGTAAGGTGCTTTCATTGTCATACTTTGTGGTTGTTTAGCTGTTGAGTCAACTTCCTCCAGCGTCAGGATAATATTCTTCACTGATAAAGTTTCACCATCGTCATCATCATCGTAATCTTCATCATCATCGTCATCATTATCACAATAACTGTCGCTGTCGTCACCATAATCAGTGTTGTCATCGTCATCAGCATCATTATAACAGTCATACATAAACACCATCAGCATAAGATTGTTCGAGAAATAATCCATACCTCCTCTCCCATGGTTTTTTTAATTAGAATTCTCCTACCCTTCTGGAAATTCCCTTTTAGCTTCATAATTTCCTTTAAAGAGTTTGCCTTTGAGCCTACCTTCCACTTCAAAATTCAAATAACCTTTCTTGGGGTGAAAGGTACATGATGGCTATCATTCTCGACATCCTTGCTGCAATCATCACCTTTGTCAAAATTTTCATCATTATCACATGTTATTACTGCACATGATATATCCAAAAAAAAACATGCATGTTAACTACATAATAAGTTTTTTGAAAAATTAGCTGATTTTCCATATATTTACCCCTGGCAAATTATCAACATTGGTTAATGAAATGAATATAATTAGAACACCTTGAGATTATGTTTATCAGGCTTCTACCTGTAGTAAGTAATAAATTTGTTGTTATTCTCTGTTATGAATGTTTTATTTCCAGATGGACTTGCTATTGGAATGGAAGACATTGGAGTCAGTGAAGAAGTAGACAATCAAGAAGATGAAAATGGTGCCATAAGTGAAGACGACGATGCAGACTTATGCTATGAAAAACATACTGGTAAATACTGAGACCTTTCTGTGCAGCACTGATACGTGATTCACTTCACTATTGTAATGATCAAGTATAAACAATTATTGGCCGAAAGCGTACAGTGAATTTTCGAAATCAGCCCCTGTGATGTCATATCTGCAGATTATACAATAATCATGTCAAGGACACTCAAGGTTACAGATAATCATGTCAATTTCAGCACTTTGTGTTGCTTGCCGTCAGTGAAGAAGCAAAAACATGACTTCCATTTTTTTCGTTCAATGTATAATAAAACAATAATAATTATTAGACTCGGTTTTTGTGATATCCAGAATAATCAAGGTCGAGGTAGGGGTTGTGAGCTGAAGCCAAGGGCTGAGGCTGATAACCCTTATCGAAACCTTGATTATTCTGGATATCACAGAAACCAAGTCTAATAATTATTGTTTTATTATACATTGAACGAAAAAAATGGAAGTCATGTTTTTGCTTCTTCACTGATGGCAAGCAACACAAAGCGCCGAACTTGACATGATTATCTGTAACCTTGAGTGTCCTTGACATGATTATTGTATAATCTGCAGATATGACATCACAGGGGCTGATTTCGAAAATTCACTATACGTTTTCGGCCAATCAGAAAAGAAATAGTGAGTTCAAAGTATAATAAAAGACATTAACACTGTTTTCACTGCTCCTTGAATGATCTTCAAAATCAAAATGCTAATTGGCAATTGACCTCTGTCAATCAAACAGTAGTACCTTTCATGGTCTGAGAAATGAAGCAGCTTTTGATCACATTCACAGTAAAAATGTTGGCAATGACAAATTCTTCAGAAAGTTTGAATGCTTATAGAGAAGATATATGTAGCTATGAAATTATGTTATTGCTTGAGCCCAATCTGCAACATTATTGTTGTTGATGGAAGGCCTCCGGTGGTGTGAAGCCACATCGGTAGACCAGTATTCCATATAAGATACTGCCTTATGATTGACGCAAGCCTATTGCAATCTTGAGCATTTTGATTTCAAAGGTTACGTAGCAGTAAAAAAACCGGAGTAACATCTCTCCCCCAGGCATGCCTCTGACTTTCTTCAAACTGTTAGCAGTATGTTTTGTTTTTTATTTCATTAACACTGTTCAATCATTGCCCTTGTCTTCAGCCTCCATTTTCTCAGTGTCAATTGACCCAGTAAACAATTCCATGGCAGTTTCTGGAGGAGAAGATGACAAGGCGTATGTTTGGCGAATACAAGATGGAGAGACTCTCATGGAATGCCGTGGTATAGCAATCTTGTATTTAAGTATAGTGATTGTAAGTTATGCTACTAGTTTTAATTATCCTGTGGTCTCATACAAGAAGCTACAAGGCATTATTTCATTATTCTGAGCACAGAAAACCCTAGTTTGACTTGACTGAATTAGTCGTCTTTGAGACATCATGAGGCAATTACTAGGCTTTCTACCATGTATGTGGCTCTCCACTGCCAGACTCTGTTGTTGATAGTCTATTTGTCCTCCATCAGCTCATGCGGGGTACGCAAAAAAAAAACATGAATTCCAGCTTTCCCTTTAACAAGCAGCTTACCCTGGGCAAGTCTTGTTTACTTTTTGTTGCTTAAGATGGCAGATGACTTGCCTGATGGCAGCCTCATTCCCAGGGTCTCTAATCTACTTTTCCCAGACAACCTGATTGCCATTTTATTGAGCCCTTCTCATGTCTTCCCAGTGTTCCCTTGCAGTCTCGTACATCATTTAGGCAATTATAGTCATTTGCCTCTAGAGGCAGAAATGAAACAATTTCAAGTGCATTTCATGTAAATTGATGGTACCGTTAACTTCAGTTTGTCTTTTAGTTGGCTAACAATTTAATAGCATTTGAACTTCTAATAAAAGGAAACTTCAAATTATTGCTGTAATCACTTAGTCTATGTTCCATATGCAATTATTTTTAACTAGTTAACTTCTGTTAGTTAGTGGCTCTGTAGTGATTCTTTCTTCCCCTTGCAGGTCACAAGGACTCAGTGACGTGTACAGCTTTCAGCCATGATTCTAAACTTGTTGCTACTGGTGATATGAGTGGCTTGATCACAGTTTGGGATGTCGCTACGCAAAAAGAAGTCTGGAATTTTGAGACGACAGACCTAGAGGTGAGATTACATGACTGTATAAACCTACTTCCTTTATTGTATTGTTAGAGCGGTTTTCAGTTGAGTGTCGTAAAACCAAAACCAAACCAATAACTTACCAATTAGATTACTGACAGCCAATCTCAAACCGAAGTTAAACCAAAACCAAAACCAAAGTTATTATCTAATTACTTTCGACACTCAATTGAAAACCGTTCTAGTAGCTTTAAATGATTTTCAAGATAATAAAACCGAATCTGTTGATTTGACATGATCTTGATTAGTCAAGATTGCATGGCACCATTAATCAGAAAAAAATGAAATAGAGTAAATATTATAAAACTACAACAATTCAGGACACAGAGACTACAGAGGGGTGAGATTGGAGTTTTAGAGAATCACAAGGACTCTCATAACACAGATCTCTCCTGAATTCTTTCAAGTAATAAATCAAGTTGATGTTATCACAAAGAAACACTTTGCCATTTTTGAAACAGTTTTAATTTATTGCCACAATGTAGACACTCAAGGGGTTCTTTTGGAAGTCTGCAATTCTGATTGGTTGTCCCATTGTTGTCTAATTATCAATTAGACTACAAGAGTTTTCTGTCAGCAAATGTTCAACAAGACGTAGCTGGGTTGACTATCACTCATTGAAAACAAGGACAAGTATTCTGATTGTTTTAGTAGACACTCTTGACTAATACGTTTACAGCACAAATCTTACAATTTTGTATTAACTACTTGGTTGTAAGGATAATATGATCGTTGTTCATCAGCAAATAGAAAACAATGAGAGAACCAATCAGATTTGTGGATTTCCAACAAAATGCAGCTGAGTGGCTTGTAATTACAGATAGAATTTGATTGGACATGCACTTGCTCTTGATATTTGGCTCAGTTTACAATACATAACATTGTAGGTTTTGGACTGTAATCCTAAGTGCAATTGCCTACTAAAATGAGGCTTCTTGCCATTGTGTTCTATGAAAAGTAGTCAGTTTGGCTTCATGTCATTGACCATAAAATATAATGCTCACAGAAAAATCAGGCTCTTAGTAATCATAAAACCAATGTTATTGCCACATTTGGTCCCTTTTATGATTGTTTTCTTTCCTGCCTCAATTTATTTAATATGTTATCTCAGTGGTTAGAGTGGCATAATGAAGCAAATATATTACTAGCTGGTACAGCAGATGGTAATGTATGGATGTGGAGGATTCCCAGTGGAGACTGTAAAACATTCCAAAGTCATGGCTGCCGATCAACTTGTGGAGTATTCATGAATGACGGTAAATGGAATTGATTTTAAGGTTCTCATTCTCAGGCATAATGCTCGACTCCGGATCAAGCGGTCCAGGTTTGAGTCCTGGCCGGGGACATTGTGTTGTGTTATTGGGCAAGACACTTTACTCTCACAGTGCCTCTCTGCACCCAGGTGTATAAATGGGTACCGGCGGATTTAATGCTGGGGGTAACCCTGCGATGGACTAGCATCCTATCCATGGGGGAGTAGAAATATTCCCAGGTGCTTCGTGTTACGGAAACTGGGATAAGCTCCGGCCTGGTGGGCCCTTGGCTCGTATGCAGACTTCTTTTCTATTCTCAAGCATTGCCCAGATTTTACATATTAAAAACCACGAAGGAGGTTGCCTTTACTTTGGAATAACTGTTTTGATTGCTTGAACAAGAAAATGAGAAGAATTTGTCTCAGAAAGACTAGCGGGACATATGAGGAACTCTTAGTTACCATATGTATTTTTTGTGGTTATAAGGTAAAAGAGCCAGTGTTGGATATGAAGATGGCACCCTTAAAGTTTGGGATTTGAGGCAAGGGATGCACACTTTTCATCTATCAGGTAATTAATATACAGTCCTTTTAGTTTGGTGACATTCAGTTCATTAATCCAGTTCGGGGAGTAAAGTGTTGTACACATAATGGAGCTGGAAAGGTAGCCATTGCAAACAAAAAAGTTGGGAAGACAAGAGACCTGAAAATGAGGTTGCCATCGACTTTCAGCTACTGAGATTCAACAAGAGACGACATGAGTTGATGAGACCCTCTGAGAAATGCTCAAGAGTTTCAAACAGAGTAAGATGATATTATTGTTGTTGAACTCTTGTCAACTTTTGGTGGAGTCTGGTCCAGACATGCAAGGCTCTTGTCTAGAACAATGCTCAATTTCTTATTCAAATAACCGTCAGAAGAAATTACTGTCTTCGCCAGGACAGCTGCAAAATGGTTAATATACTATCACTTGAGAAGTGGCAGCTGTATATCTGCATGTAAACCGAGCAAACACTGAAAAGATAGCAAACCCTGGCTTTGATCAGTGACTAATTCATATCCACACAATACTTCTGAATGTTGTAACGAGTATGCGTACATGAAGTACAAGTCCAGTTCCCGCCTCACGGATCACATGACAAGGGGCTCATGTGGTCGGCCATGTTGTAGTTTTCGTCGTTGCTGCTTAGTGCATTAAATAAGTTGTTTTGCAGACACTGTTGTCTATCCACTTGTCGTTACAAGTGTGATATGTGTAATATATTTCTGTGAAAGCCTTTAACAGGAAAATGGATAAAAGCTTTAAGAAGTAATATATCAAACATGAAAAACCTTTTTTGATCACATTTCCAAACACTGAAAAGAAAGTTGATAATATGACGTGCAGGGAACTATGTTTATGAGCTACGAGGTGATTGGAAATGTGGTCAAATACTGTGTTAAGTGTTTGATACATGTATATCTTCTCAATTAAAACTAAAAGTAAGGACACAACTGAGAAATAAAATCGTAAAAATGTATCCTCATTAAGATCGGATATTCAAGCCATGTCACAGTCATAATTTCCTTTGTTTTTTAAAACTTGACGAATTATTAAATGCTTGATCAAAAAGGATTTTTTAAAACATAAGCAGGTGAATATTAACGTCAAAAGCCAACGTTTCGGTGTCATCATGACACAATTCTCAAGGCAAAGTGAATAAATAATGCGAAGATTTGATTTCTATACAGTCTCTACAAATTGGCATAATAACAAAGGATCACAAGTGAGTTTGAGAAATCAAGTGGATAAATTAGTCGTCTGATTCCAGGCTACATACACTGCACATATTTGCAGCATTTTGTTTCAGCTGAACTTTAGGTTCCAGTACTTTATAAACAAGCCCATGACAAGCTTAACTAGGACAGCAAATACATTTTCAGATACAAATAAACAATATGAAAAGACTAAGTTGTAACTGCTCCACTCTCCAGATGGCACGTCTCACCAAGGCTCAATCACCTGCGTAGATGCACACAGAGACAATGTACTTGTAGCAACAGGATCAGAAGACTCGACAGTTAAAGTAGTGAATACCAACAGTGGCAAGGCAAGAATCTGGAACATTTTCATGTTATTAATGTATCTGCTGTTCGTGTACACAAGGCATACATGCCTTGATTCTTAAGTTGAAAGCACCAGTACAGCCAGGGTCCTCATTTTGTACTCAGTTTTTTGGTAGAGTTCCCACCCTTCCCCCTCCCTTACTCTCAGGCTACCCCCTGTTTGCCCCTTTTGAGATAACTTTATTGTGACAGAATACAGGGGGGATCCTGCTACATGTAGCAAAGAGGAATGGGAGGTTGCATCTGTACTCCCAGCTGCTTCATGCAACTACCAAGTAAAGCAAAAGTGCTAATGAACCAATTGGGTCCTCAACCCCCAAGAATTAAATATATATTGTTAAACTAAAAAGACTTTTGAACCATATCCATCAAATTGATTTACTGACAGGTACTGAGTACATTAGCAGCAGGTTTTCAATCTGATGATAGCGATTCACCACCTTCCATTGAAGCTGTTGGATTCTCTCCTCAGTAAGTGTTATTTGACTAGCAGACCTAGAGTCCCTTTGTGAGAGGTGTGGTAGCCTAAAGGTTAGTCCCCTGATCTGATTAAGAGGTTAACTCTGAAGCTCTGGCAAGAACCTTCTGGTTTGTTCTAGAGCAAGACATTTAACTCTCACAGTGCCTTTTACCAACAAAGATAATTTGATGGCTACTGGAAAATTGTTGATGCAAACTTTTAAAAATTATGTTGGTGTTCACGTGTAGTGAGATGGAGTGGAGTCACCACTAGGGAGGGAGCTGATAAGCCTACTCTTAGTGGCTACCTGCTGCAGATAATTGAGCTCAGTGTTAGCACTAAAATGTCATTGAACTCATCAGACCTTTAGTGTCAGAAAGGACTGTTTTCTTTGGTTGAATAGTCTATGATACTGTAACTTTCTAACATAGACAATTCTCTCTTTCATTTGTTCACTGTGCTTTCATGTAACGGTACCTCATATGACTTGCCCACAGGCAACCCATGCTGGCAACTGCATCCTTGAGTGGCGTCCTTGGTATATGGGATCTCTCGTCATACAGACTTCGCCAACAGTGTAAACATCCTGTAAGGACTGTATCACTATTGTTTTCCAAGTCTTGCTCGACCATCTTTCTATGATAAGATGATAGAGGAGCCAACACAGTTTAAAGGAACTACATCATGGTTTGCACATCTTGAAAAGTTTAGCCTGAATTTTTCAAGTTAATCACTTGTAAATAATAATAATAAATTAATAAATGTAGTCTTATATAGCGCTGCTTCTTCAGAATCCAGCAGTGCTGAACAGAATTTATGAATAAACTAGATATAAACTAAAAGAGCTACTGTAAATGTAACTATAATTACAGTTTATAAATACCTTTAAAAAGATGGGCCTTGACTCTTGATTTCAATGAAGCAAGCGAGCTGCATGTCCTTGTAAACAGTGCTAATCTTCTCCATCCTTAAACGAGCTCAGTCACAGTATTTTGAGGTTATTTTGGCCACATACAAAATTACCTTTAAATGATAAGAAACCTGAAAATAACAGTTTAATAAGATACAAAAACACCAAAGAGACAATGATAAACCATAAGGGAACAAGGATGGCTAAGGATGGAGTAGATTAACACAGATTACAAATGAGGAATTCGAAAAACGGAGGCTAAACTTTTCATTATGTGCAAACCGTGACTGAGCTCCTTTAACCATCCTTGTTCCTTTATGGTTTATTATTATTTCTTTGGTGTTTTTCTATCATAGTAAACTATTATTTCCAGGTTTTCTTCAATTTAAAGGTAGTTTTGTACATGGCCAAAATAACTCGAAAATGCCATGACTGAGCTCCTTTAAATAATGTCAATTTTGATTGTTTTGTCAGGGTGGGGTAGTGCAATTGAAGTGGGATCATTCAACACCTCTTGTCTACACTGGATGTCTGGATGGTGTGGTCAGACTTTGGGACAGTCGTTCAGGAAGCTGTGAGAGAGAATGGCGTGGCCACAATGGAGAAATCCTAGATCTTGCTGTGTCAAGGTAATGCAAGAAACTTTATAAAAATCGTTCAGATTGTATCGCTGCAGTACTTTCATGTGGTACTTTTTATTTATATACTGTACAAGGTGGTTCTAACTTTTAAGTCTGTGGATTAAACCAAGCCTAGTGTGTGACCATTCAAACGAAAGTTGTGGAGCAGTACTTTCATGTGGTACTGTTTATTATGCCGTACAAGGTGGTTCTAACTTTTAAATCTGGATGAAACCCTAGTGTGTGACCATTTAAATGAAAGGTATTGAGCAGTACTTTCATGTGGTACTGTTTATTATGCTGTACAAGGTGTTTCTAACTTTTAAGTCTGTGGATGAAACCCCAGTGTGTGACCATTG